CTACACTCAGCGAAATTGTAACAATTGTGGTCCAATTATTGTTTGTGTGCCTTCATCACTGCAATTGAGTTTGTCAGTACACTGCAACCACCATCGCCACCACCAAAAATTTGGATCACCCACACGCAGGAGTTGCGTAACGTCAATTCGTCCAATCTGCAACCGCAGCACACAAATTTATTTATGCCTATCTCCGAATTCCACCTTGCCAAACCTCGCCTGACAACGTATAAAAGCCCGTCAGATCTTCGTGTGGAACCGTGTGCAGGTTAAGAAGAAATGCAGTCCCTCAAATCGACCATCGTGGTTATCGCTGTCCTGGCTCTAGCTGTTCTGGGTACGTTTATTGAATTGTTTGTGAAGGTGCATCTGGTATTGCGCATAAATAACACCTTGCTCATTTCGGTGATTAAGTGCTACCGAGTTTAGAGGGTAGATAACTTTCTCTCCCTTTTTTAGTGCTAGGTAGATCACAACACGTGGACTCGACACTGCCACCACCACAACATGAGAACGAGATTGACTTAGGATCCAATGAGAGGCCAAACGCGGATTCAGGTAAAAACGTCCTTTAATCACGCATTAACTCCTTGACACATTCCAAAAGCCGTTAAATATTCTATGGGAGTAGTGAGTCGGTTTGGGTTTTTGATTCGTGTGCAAATCATGTTAACGCCACTAGTTTTTTCATTAGGTTCTCAAGGAGAAATGCCGCTTAGACCAGTGCATAGCGGCAACTACAGGACAGGCAGTCAGTGTTCGGAGTGCTCACGGGATCCGAATAGATGCTATCATTCGGGTGAGTCTTCATCACATTTAACCCAGTTGACTTAGCAGGTCTCATGCCTAACAAACTGTTTGAGCACACTATATCTTGTCATGCACGATTTTAGTTAAGAACTATTTGGTGAGACAATGTTTTTTTCGGATACAGACACGTTTAAATTTTGGCGATTCCTTGTTTCTTGAGATAGCTGTTAGAATAATTGGTGCACGTAGATATACCTTTGCAGTTGGGACTGCTTTTGTGTGGCCACAAGTGTTAAATTCTGGCATTTTGTGAAATGTTTGCAGCAGATCACGTTACTAGTTCAGTCATTAAGCGGCAAAATTTTTCCGAATTTGCACAAAACCGTGACATTGTGTTTGTTGGTGGTTTAGCTGGAAGCGTTTGTCGACTGAACATGGTTTCTGGTAAGCAGAATGCTCTGTCCGCCTTTTATAACCTGTGACTTCTAAAGTTTCTTCTTGTAACTTGCACTCGGTCTCTTTGTAGGTGCACTGTTACTCTTTCCTGCAATGCTCATTGCACAGTACTAGAAATCGGTAAAGTGGACTGACACATTCGATACGAAACATTCTTGTGATTTTTGCAAGTAGATGAAATTTTCCGCTGTCTTCATCACCTTCTTCTTTTTGAGGGCAATTTCTACCATGCGATTAAGATGAACATAACTCGTGTCAAGGGTGCTGCTGATTTTATGCGTTTAAATGAAACAAAGTAATTCGATTAATTTGGCTTCCGATTATCCGTCATCGGATGCACTGAGGTCAATACTTGGGAGGAAATTATTCAAATAACCTCTAGTAAAAAAATTTGTTGAATAATTAGATAAACACGATAAAAAAAGGTATCAGTTCACTTGTCGTGTGGGCAATAACCTATCTTGCACAGAAAATTCGATTTAGTAATGTCTGTTGATTAGCTGTGGGCAGTACTGCGATCACGACCATGTCATTTGGGCTAAGTCGATATTTCCAGTGACCAGTCAACCAAAATGTTTAATTAAGGATGATTACGGATAAACATATTATCGTCATTCCATGGAAACTTCGTTTTTAAAAACAGCAACAGTCGTCTCATAAGAATAACTCAGAAGAGGCCTGCAACTTTGTGAACAAGATAATGGAATGGCATCAAAGCCTAAAGAACAGTGAACTTGTAGTGGCTTTACTTAGCACCACATTACAACCCTTCAGTTAACTGCTCGTAATAACCCGAGAAGAAAGGGACAGAGGCTACAGAGGACGGGACCGCTTATAAGCGTAACGCCAGGCAAGTGAGTGGATGGCAGATTTCTGATAACAGTAACCAGTTGAAAGGGGATGGGTCATCGACACCGTCAGGCGCGGTAGCCGCTAATCCGCTGCAAAATTTGATAAAATCCTATTTGTCTGATACTAGTTCCAAGGTAACAGCGAAACCACCTAGACGTAACTCTAGTAAACGATATGTGTGCTCGTGTGTGGCTTTAAGTTCTTGGTGATACGCCAACGCACAATAACGAGTCACGAGATTTTGCTTTCTGTAAGAAAAAATGGCATGTTACACAACGGAGATTACAAAAGTGTTTTGTGGTATCATTCCCTGCACAGACCGGGTGTTATACGAAGAATCGAAAGAATTTCATAGGTACCTGAATTACCCATCCGCGTGTAAGGTTATTTGCACGACGCAGAATGGACACTCATTCGGTTTCCACCAATGACAAAACTCTGGCTAAATGTTTGAATGACTCCTCAATGTTTGGCAGATGGCTTTCCTTAATATCGATTCCTTAAACAGTGTTTTACAGACTATAATAATTCATCATGGGCTTTCCACCATAAAATCACAAATTCGACGTCATTTTACAAATATTCAGCTGGTTTATTTATTAAAAAATGACAAAATATCACTGGGCGGGGTACAAAACATAAAGTTTTGACTAAAATGCGTACAAAATTAATTAACATAGTGGATGTGCGACCCTCGATTTCCAAATTTTGCGGTCAAGTTGTCACGTGAATGAAAAATGCCTGCTTTTATTGCTGATGCGAGAGCAAAGAGCTCTGTCGATCCCGAATCCGCGTAAAATCAGAAGATCGAACTCAGTGTTTTCGCGTCAATGTCTGGGCTGCAGGTCATGTGAATTAAAATGGTGAGTCAGAGGAAATACCACATCAAAGTGTCGTGCAACAATTAGGTACATTTAAGCATGTACAACAAGTTAGTTAATTAATGACTCCGTAAATGCCACCACGACGGTGAATCCAAGTGGGAATCTGTTGTGAATCGCTTTGATTCACACTTGTTAATCTGGTCACTTCAGCTTCAGATACAGGGTCCCCCTTTTCGCAGAATGTCGCCAGCCGCGCAGATCCTCAGTTCCCCCCTCACAAGAGCAAACATCCACACATCTGAGGTATAAAAACACACGCGCAAACCCTACACACGACACAACGACACCAACTTTGTTGAGCTCTGATGTAGAGGGTTGTGCCCACGTCCTCTCCCGTCTTTTTTTTCATCACGGATATCAGGGAAGCGTAATTGGGCCTGAATTGATTCAGTGACCCCGGCGTGGTTTAAGACCACATGCTGGGGCCCTCAAAATATCAATGGACTAAACCATGACTGTGCAGTTCAGTTGAGCGAATTTCTTGTCTACTTATTTAGTCTATGAATGATTTGACTCTCACAGTGCTAGCAGGCAACGGAATTAGTTTGTTGTCGTCGGGGTCACCAAATGTTGTGGTCCCCAGCATGTGGTCCTGAACCACGCCGGCGCTACGGAATTAACTCTGGCCCGATTACGCTTGCCTGATGCCTGCGATGAAGAAGAAGACCGGAGAGGTCGGGACACAATCGTTTACTTCAGAGCTCAGCCACGTTGGTGACGTTGTGTCATGTGTGAGGTTTGCGTGTGCCCATTTATACCTCGGATGCGTGAGTCATAGATGCGCTAAGATCGGAACCTGTGTGTGAGGATAATCCAAGGCAAATATCCGTGTGAATAAGGAGGGGTTGAGGATCCGCGCGGCTGACGACATGCTGCGATAAAGGGGAACCCTGTGTCGGAGGCGGAGCGATCGGATTAAGAGGTTGAGTAAACACGATTCACGACAAGTTTGCTGAAATGTGGCAGAATTCTGGTTTTTAGCCCGAAGAATATTTGCCATTCTTGCTGTCGGGAAACGAAAATAAGTAGTTATAAAGTGATGTGAATTTACTTGCCAGTTCATTCTGCACCATCAACAACACCCAGTCCAGAGCGTTTGCGTGTTATGCATTGCTAACCAATAAACTACAATTGAGTTCGACCTACCAGTTGTACCTCACGAACCAAGACCAACAGGTATAGTTTTGAAGGCAATTCATCTGTCACATCCATAAAAATGCCAAAATAGTTGCTGAACATTCGTTTGCAGTAGCGTTTTAATCACCCGGTGTAATTTAGGATCAATCATTTAGGATTTTTGCACAGAAAATCTTATTCTGATAACACTGGCTCACATTTCATGCCCACTTCATATGTTTATTCAACTTGATCAGTCGGTTTATGCAGATAAATGATCATTTAATGGTCCTTGTTCACATGAATTAAAATGCAATTTAACGAGCACTAGCACCACGCTTGCTCGCATTTGTACTTTTGGAGCCTTGAGGAAAGATTTCGTTACAAAATCTGGGCCAAATTCACATTACATTTCTGTAAGCTGTTCTGTACCTCCATGGCTGTCGGTTATAAAGTCAACAGTAAACCTTTCCGTTACTAGCAATAATAAATCGACAGTTTTGGCTAGTCGTACTGTCCACATACCAAAAAAATGTCTTGTCTGAAGAAATAATTACCTTAACTTTGTGGTGATGATACTGGGGTGATCAATCCCATAACCCGATTTAACATTACTTGAATTACATTTCAGCAATATTCACAAAAATCTTTTAATGGTTCCGCCTGTGATTTGACAAGAGGGAGAAATTGTAATCTTTTCAAGGCACAAATTAGTAGCTATGGACCATGTTCATTGTTGATAAGCTTGCATATGCACTCCCATCATAACTAATGTGGATTGCTCACACACTGGAGTGCGTAACGTCAATTCGTCCAATCTGCAACTGGCAGCACACAAATTTGGTTATGCCTATCTCTGAATTCCACCTTGCCAAACCTCACCTGGCAACGTATAAAAGCCCGTCAACTCTTCGTGTGGAACCGTGTGCAGGCTAAGAAGAAATGCAGTCCCTCAAATCGACCATCGTGGTTATCGCTGTCCTGGCTCTAGCTGTTCTGGGTACGTTTCTTCAATTGTTTGGGAAGGCGCGCATATCCGGAGTTGTATGGGATTAGTGACAACATCTATTTTTCAGTGTCATGTAGATCGCACCACATGGCACCACCAAAGACGGCCAACGAAGTTGAACAAACGACAACTGAGCCACCTGTTCTTGATCGTCCTTCGATATCGGATCAAGAAGATCAAGATGACATAGATTCGCGTACGATTTTCTATGAAGTTAATCTGTACGATGACAAGGTTCTTTAGCACAATTGTCTTTTTTGATAGGCAAATTGTTTTTCCGAGTTGACGCAATCGTAAATTTCCAGTAGCAATTGTAGCCGGTCTTGATGAATTTGACAGCATTCTTTTTAAATTTTCGGTGATTTAAACTTCAACTTCTAGCCGGTTTTATGTGCCCTAGGCTCAAACATTGCCATGCCGATTAGACCAGCACACAGTACCAACTTCAGATCTGACAGCCATCATTCAGAGTATACGCGAGAATCAAGCAGTTACTACCATTCAAGTAAGTCCTTTCTTTCTGGTGACGAAGTGGCAATTAGTTGGTCCCACAAACGTTCTTGACCTTATCTTAATTATAAGATATAACGGTCTGATAATTATCCTTGATTTATCATATTGAATATATGATGCAAGTTAGCACAGATTTAGGGTGGATAAAATGGTCCTTATATAATAATGAACTGTTTTATTGTCTTAGGCGTCGGAACTTGCCGTTTTGGCATGGGAGTCGGTAAGTCAAATACAAGTATTTTCTTCGAAATGCGACAAATTATGAACTACTGATTTAAACAATGGACACAAGGTCACGCTTTTAATTTTATTCTCCTGTAGGTGGATCACTTCTCCTTCTAATCACAAGCATCCCAATGATTTAGGAACTAACCAGTTGGAAGTACACCTTGAGAATTTAATGCTTTTACTATTGCTTTCTTCTCGAACGTTTGCTTTGTTTTTGCAACATTTAGAAACATGCCTCAAGGTTAATGTGCAATTACTTCGACTGGATTTAATTTGAACAAAATGCTTGGCTATTCTGGTCGCTAGCTCAGGCTACTGATTGTTTCGATTTTCATATTTCGATGTGTTAACATGTCCGTTTTTTGCATTCCTGGACTTAGATGGGGTATTTAAAATTCCTACACAAGTAGAGCATTGTGCGGAGGATATGCGCTTTGCAGGTTAGTAAATGACAGTGATGTTGTTGATAGTGGCCATGACTTCTTATTGTTATCCTGCATTTAGCGTACTCATGTATTGACTGGTTAAGGGACGTCGTTACATTGCTAAACCACTGAATGGGGTGTGTCCTGATGGAACCACAGCAATGCAATTTATGGTAAAGAACCAGAAAACCCCTGGTAGCGTGTCTGATTCATTTACGATGTGATATTTTCATCAGTACCTCCTAATTAATGGTTACGTCTGAAAGTCACCAAATCCAAAATTTGTTGATCAGTTCGAGACGTGAAAGAATAATACGCGTTTTTGTAGATGTGGTGAAAACGGAATAATGATATACTACTAACAAAGGCCTAAAATCAGATAGCAAAATTATATTTTTAAGCGTAAATATCTAGATTGGTTTTCCAAAGTCGAGCTTGAGGGAATCATGAGCCTCATGAAAGGACTAGAGCAAAGATGAGTAAAATCAAGTTATTCATTAATGATAGAAAACCATATTTTCCCTAAAAATAGTGAATCTGGTAAAGCCTTTGGTGATTAGATTGTTATATTTATCTTTAAAAAAAATAATTACTGAAAGTGACAGCTATAAATATTAATTTTGCAGTAAGATTTTGGGGGCTTTGGAAGGTGATTACTTCTAAAAAGAGCCAATCATAATTAACTTCTGCTGATTAAATCGTTAAAGTTTGTAATAAATCGATTGAACAGTGCCTAACACTTTTACTTAATCACCATAGTGAAATAAGGAGATTCTGATCCACTACACACGTAAATGAGGATTTTGCCCAACAGTTTTGTCCCAATTTTAAAATAAAACTAGCAACAATAAGTTGATATTGATGACTGTCCAAGTGGGCAAAGAGTCACTTATCTCCCACTAATTAGACCATGTATGGGAGAATTTTCAGTTGAGATGACAAACGTTTACTAGTTTGCATCATAGCTTCCTCCATAAATTTAAAAAATAGCATGTGAACTACTAAAAAGGATTTAAAAAGTTGCCAATTTTCTAAAATGTTGTTGATATTATTATACTCTGTTAGTTAAATAATTTACTAAACCCTCTTTTGAAGAAAACTTGTCCAAGTAGTGACCTTCATCATCCACCACAGTGGCTCTTCGGTGAAACTTTCATCACAAAAATCACAATGGCAGAAGTCGTCTAGGTTCAAGACGCTACCTGCCACTGTCTACGCAAATTGGCGGATCCGATTTCGCTGAGTGTGAAATTCTGAGGGTCTGCAGTCTGGAAGATCTCAATTAGTTGATGCTGCTAGCTCAGAAGTGCACAGTACTGGTGCCAACATCGGTCATTCCGTCCTAACTTGGGCTTCATTACAGCAAACAGTGTGTCTAACGACAACAATGCGTCTCGATTCCGGTTCGAATACTAGGGCTTTTAAGGGCAATTGACTCGTGAAAGCACAAAGAGAGGTCTGTGGATTCCCCTTCATGGACGAGGGGAGCACTGATGCTGATAATTACCAGTTGAAATAAGTTACCGAGTTAAGCACGCCAAGTTCAACACACACTGTGTTGTCAAAAGATCATTTACTAGCGTGGTAAGTGAATGGAGATCTTCTTGGTCCTGGTATTTGCCAGTACAAAGTTGCCATCCATCTAGTAAGGAGTGACAACGACACGAGGCGTGGACGGACAGCAGATGGTCGAAATTCAGAGTTTTTCACAAATGAATGCCCAGAGCATTCTAGAATTGTCTTGAATAACCCATCTCGTGAAGGTTATACTAGCTCCATTGCAACAAGGCTGTGGGGTTTCTGTGATGTTAGTATTTTGTGTATTGAAAACTAAAATTTTTAACTTGCCAACGTGACTTATGTGTTTAAATCACGTGACAACACCGATTAATAAAGTTAAAAAGAGGACCGGACAAAAAACGGACGCGTCACGTATTGACTTTGACCAAGAAGACGAGAAGCCGACTAGTTGGTGGGGGAGTTAATGTAGACGCTCAACCCAAGATGTTCTCAATTCAACGACTGAAACGAGGTCTTTAAGTGTCAGATAAGGAAAGCCTTAACACGACACACGGGACAGTCGACGTCGTCAGACAGCGATTCGGGCAAAGTAAGTCATTTAAATAACTGATTTACACAGTTGAGCATTTGTTGAAGCATCACTTTTTTCCGTGTAGAATCAAATGACGAAGGCCTTGGCACAAATTAACTGAATAGGCCATCGCAGTAATCTTTGCATTTTCAGGCATGTTTCTCAAATCCTGTGAAAATTCCACTCTTGCGATTGTTACATGGGTTTGAAATACATTTCATGTAGTGACTGGAAAGCGCATGCGAGTCCCGATGGCCACTACAGTGTCCTTTATAGCGTAAAATTTGCAGCTGTTCCCACCACAATTGGACAGAAGGATTAAATCAGTCAACTCAGAGACGTCTGAGCTAATAAATTCAACAAGATCATTCAAACAGCAAGAACAATTGGAGTTAAATTTATTTGACTGTGAGGTGCAAATACATAGACAACCAAAGCACCGCGGATCGTGTATTGTTGGTCGGTCAATTAGCCCAGTATAAGGTGAGAATTGTCAATCGGGTTGTCTAGATTTGGTTAGCTTTATTTAACGTTTTCGACAACTCACTGTGCAGTATTCATTGACCAATTAACCAATGTTTAGGTAATCAGGATGTTATACCTACCGAAAAGGAGTAGAGTAAGTTTCGTAAAACAAACATATTTGCAATTTATCGTCTTCAAATAGACTCAAACCTCGTTAAGTTACTTATTAAATTGTCGATCGTACTTTAAGTTAACAAGCCACACTCCTCTGACCCACTGTAAACATTATGTAGCATTGTGGAATCTGACGTAGGTAATACTCAGTGTTTACTTTTCAATATGCACATTATGAATTACCAAGTTTACAGTATCCTCTAAGTGAGCACATGAATTTAAGAGACTGATTGACTCTCAATTTCTTAAAAATATAGTCTACACAGTTGACCACTTATCTGCGAAATAATGTGGTCGCTCTTCTAACCTAAAAATCCGGTGAATGAGGCCGACGTACGACTTGAGCACTCGGCATTCAATCGATTTACCAAGGTCAACAAGCATTTATGAAAGTGGATTTAATTTTAAAATTTCATTTGTAATTCAACAAGCTCTCCTAGTCACATGAAGGTTTTGAAGAAATTCTGATAAGTCTTATTTCAATGGCACTTGTGAACACATCTGGTGTTTTAATTCAGGCCTCCATTTAAGAAATATTGTAGCAACCAGTCAAATTAACTGGCCACAGCCTTTTAAAGTGTCTGTTGTGGGCCCCAGCATGTGATCTTGAACCACGCCGGGGCCACTGAATTTATTCTGGCCCGATTACGCTTTGCTGAGGATGTGGACACAACCCTTTGATTCAGAGCTCAATCACTTTGATGTCCTGGGTGGTTTAGATGTGTGAGTCATAAATGGGCCAACATCAAGACCCAGGAGTGAGGATAATCTGAGGTAATCGTTCGCGCTAGTTAGGGGGAGTTAAGATTGCGCGCGGCTGGCGACATGCTGCGATAAGGGGGACCCTGTATCGGAAGCTGGAGTGATCGGATTAGCGAGCGTGAATCAACGTAATTCACAACATGTTCTTCGTGTATCATCGACGTGATAAACTGAGTAAATGAATAGCCAGGCCATGAAAGGCAAGTTTCAAGTCGACCAATAGGAAGAGGAATTAGTGGGTCCAAAGTCCAATTTTCAAATGACATCTGAAATCGATAAGGAAATAAAGTATTTTCAGTCACGTTAAAAATTTCTAAAGAATTTGATTTGTGATTATCTGAATGTCTCACTGTTTCACGATTGGTTGTTATGGATTTGGCGTAACTCAATCGGTTATTTCTGAATGATTGTTGGCTTTTCCATTTAAAACAACCAAACATAAATCATGGTTGCAGTACCGTATGTTCTTCTGGATTTCAGTTCGGCAACCTGATTGGTTGCTCAGGTTATTGTTTAAAGCAATTGGTTGGCTCTAAATTTGCACTTTACTTCAATAAAGTCTATCAAACTCGTTTTTATGTTCT